CCCTGGGGAAGGGAACCATCATACAGATAATTGCCACATAGGAATTATTTAAGTAAAGTCTCCACATTGGAGTATCCCCAAGTCCACTTTCACACCTAATGTGTGGTCAGAAAGGAAAATTTTGTATTCTATTGAATTTGTAACTCCCAAGAGAATATTGGTTGGGAACGTAGATTTGGAATGTACATCTATATGAAATAAATTGTGGGAACATGAACAAATTACAAATATAAGAAAGTAGTACGGGACCGAATATTTGTTGAATCGACATTGAATTATACTATGATGAAAAATATGGACTTTATGGGGTCTCCAATTTACAATTTAAATGGAAAATAAAAAAATTCCCATCTTACGGTAATGGGTGTGAAATACCTATAATTTTGAGTTGGCCTCTATTTGCCATATTGGATTATAAGGGGTAGAAGAAAGTTTTCAAAGTAGGTCGATGTTTCGGAGTAGTGCCCATATAAAGGTACCTCCTGATTTTACCATATTTCAAAGGATTTGGCTAAAAATGTGTATTCGGGGGGTGAAAATCTTACACAAAAATGTCAACATATTCACAAATTTTAGAATTTTCTCCATGCAATAGTATACCCTCAAGTCCACCTTTTGGCGGACAAACAGACCGACATGGTTAGGGGGACTTATGAGGACTCTAATGCACAATCTAAGGTGCTAATGGGTTTAAAAAAGTAATTAACTTTGCCTATTCTTAAATCATTCAGCCCTCAATTATGAGGTGTACAAAATACAGTAAATTCCAAATTGCTTCTCATTTGACTGTAAAATTTTGCTACGATTTTTACCATACTAAAAATTAATTTGATCCCTTACATGGGGATAAGATTCATATATACTTTTTAATAGATTTGTATAGCACATCCACACATTTGAAGCACACGGTTTAAATATTGAAGTCCACGGCTTATAAATGGGTACAGATATTTTAAAACACTTTTAATCGACCAGTACGCAAACACTTACATCAGTCATATCTGTGAATAATTATGCTTTTAAAAATATGCATAATAAACAAAAACTACGGGCCGGCAACGCGGACCGGGCCAGCTAGTATAAATTATAAAAATAACAAGTTACCAAGTAAAAAGGCAGTAAGTTCAGCCGGGCCGAACTATAAATACCCCCCCACCCATTTGGAAAGAATTAGGAAATTTTCAAAAAAAAAAAAAATAATAATAATAAATAAATAAAATCCAATAAAAACTCTGTTAAAATCTTAAAAATTCCGAATATCGGAAGGTGCCGATATATGGGAGATATACGATATTGTGGACCTATATAGACATTTCTATTTCAGACACTTCCATTGGAAAATGTGGCTAAAATCGTCAAAATACCGAATATCGGGGGGTACCGTTATATGGGGACTGTATGATATCGTAGACCGATATAGCCCATCTTCGAACTTGACCTGCCTGCAGACGAAAGACAGATCTGTGCAAAATTGTAGCTTCCTATCTTAATTCGTTTTGATTTTTGATTGCAGCAGACGGACAGATGGACGGACGGACAGTGCTAAATCGTCTTAGAGTTTTACGCTAAGATAATCGGACTCTTAAATCACATTTTATAAGAGTTGTAGTTATTCAAAATGTTGACCCTTTGTGGGGGAGGAACTTGATGGAGTGGACCAATATTGTCCATTTTCACACCCGACCTAGCACTGACGCAAATAATAGGATTTGCAAAGTTGGAGCAAAATCGGATTATCGTTTCTCTTTCTGTGCAGAAAATATATTTATTGTAAATGTCGACCTTTTGTGGGGGAGGTACCAGAAGGAGTGGACGGATATCTCCGAACTCGATGTAAGTTTGACGTTAACATTACGATGTACCAAGTTTGGATCAAATCTGATACTTCCTTTGAGAGTAATTATGCGCAGCAAATCGACTCCAAATGTTCTTAAACGGATTTGGTCGAAAGATACATAGGGTCCCAAACCGTGTTTTCAAAGAGGCACGTTTTGACCATATCCAATGATATATACCCTCTCTAGCCATATGGCTGATTGTGTAATTACCATCTATAGGTCTGCAAATTTTCCTGAAGCCTGAAGCTTTAAAGAAGGTCCTCAAAAACTTACGTTTGGAGGTCTAAATATTATCTCAAAGGGACATTTTTGGAAGTTCACTGATCTTTAAAAAGTAGAAGTCTTAAATGCCCTTTAAATTCAAGTACTTATAAATGTCCCACAATGTCCTTAAAGACTTGACGTTTGCAGGTCTGAAAAATTCAGTAAAAACTCCAAAGGTCCGAAACATGTCCTTAAACAATCCACATTAGGAAGTGTGAACATTTCCTTAAAAAATCTAAGCTTGCAGGTCAGAAAAGTATGCACGTTTGATGATCAAGAAATGTTAAATGGACCTTTCTACGGGGGCTATACGAAGACGTGAACCTGCATGAGTAATCTTTTGCCATAGGCTGTAGTACCCATTAAGATTTTCAAATGCGAAATTTGAAACAAATCCGCCGAATAATGTAGCTAAAATCATCAAAATACAGAATATCTGGAGGTACCGTTATATGGGTTCTATATAGGGGTGCTATATAGCCTACAGGTAAATACATATGTGTGCAAAATTTACAACTGACAGACTTCGCTAAATCATCTTAGAATTTTAAGCTGATCCAGAATATATGCACTTCGTAGTGTCTATCATGAATATTTCGAGGAGTTACAAACGGAATGACAATGGCTTTAAATACTGAAATTAAAAAAGAGGCAAACAAAAAACAATCCACAAACAATGGTTACTTTTTGGAGGCCTCAAAATATCCTTAAAAATCCACATTTGAAGTTCTGAAAATTTCCTTATGAACTCCACGTTTGAAGGCTTTAAAAATGCCCTTGAAATGTCTGGAAAAATTACGTTTAGCTAACGTTTTGATGTCTGAAAAATGTCCTTAAATATAAGGTCTGCAATAAGTCCTTAAAATTTACTTTTGAAGATCTAAAAAAATGTCCTCAAAATTTGAAATATTAAAGTTTGAAGCTCTGAAATAGTCTTAAAAAATCTATGTTTAAAATTCTCGGAGGTCTAAATATTTGTATAAAACCTCCAGTTTTAAGTGTCTTAAATATCCTTTAACAATCCACTTTCGAGGTCTGAAAATATTTTCCTAACATATCCCTTACAAAAAATTTTTAAAAGTTCGACTTTGTAGGTCTCAAAACTTTCTAAAAAGCTCCTGGTTTGAAGATCAGCGAAATGCGCCTAACACCAGTCTTTAATGGTCTCAAAATGTCATTAAAATCTTATATTTATTTTACGAAAAATATAATCAAAAATTCCTATTTGAAGGACTCCAAATGTCCTTAGAAATCCACGTTTGTATGTTTGAAGAAATGCCATTAAAATCCCGTGATTTATCAAAAGTCTACTTTTAAATTAAAAAAAAAAAACTTAAAATCCAATTTCGACGCTCCAGAAAATATTATTTTAAGGGCATAATGTTTTTGAAAAATTTATATTTTTAAGTCCATGCTTAAAGGTCTCATAGTCTTTGAAAATTATTCCTTAAAAATCCATTTCGTATTAATTTTTAAAATTAAAATCTATGTTTAAAGGATATAATAGTGCTTGAGAATGTTTTCTAAATTGTGTTTGAAGGTCTGAGAGTCCTTCAATCATTATACTTAAAGAATCCACTTATGATGGTCGGGCAGTCCTTGAAAAAAATATTACGAAAGCGTGTTTAAAGGATCCTGAAGGTTTGTTAGTCCTTAAATAAATATTCTTTAACATTTTCAGAACAAAAATCAGAAAGTCCTAAAATATTTCAAATATTTCATAGTCCTACAAAACAAAGACTATTTAAAACTCACGTTTGATAGTCCTTGAGTTTTTTTCAAAGCCATTTGATTATCCTTCATAAATCTACGATATCATATAGTTGTAAAAATATTTTTTAAACATTAATATTCAAGGAGCTAATAGTCCATGAAAACATTTAAAAAAAATCCAGAAATACTATTTTAGGCCTTGAAAAGTATCCTTTGAGGATCAATGTTTGATAGTCCGATAGCCCCAGAAAAAAATGTTTTTAAAAATCTAAATTTGAAGGGGTAGTAACCTTTGAAGAAATGTTTTTAGAAATATTAAATCTAAAATTTTCTTAAAAATCCACATTTTAAGCTCTAATTGTTCTGCTCGTCCTAAAAAAATATTTCCTTAAAATTTCTGGAAAATATCAACAATTAAAGTTCTAAGAATTCATTAATAAAATTAAATTGTTAAAAAATAGAGTTAATAAAAATCATGCAAACAAATTTAGGTTAATATGAAAAAAAAAAAACAAAAATAAAATAAACTTAAAAAAATGAAAAAAAAACTGATTAAAATGAATGAGTCTTCTAAAATGTCCTTACATTTTACTTGCAGGGCATTACTGAAGGACTAAAGTTATTAGAAGAATGATTAAACCCTAAAGGAAATATTTGAAGATTTTTTTGTCATTAACTAAACCTAGGTAATTAATTTACAAAATTTTACTATACACTAGTGTAAAGTCCTATTTGAAGTGGCTATGCGAATGTGTTAATGCATATAGAAGTGAGCAAGAAAGATAGAGAGAGATAGGAGCAAGAGAGAAAAAAATAAAAGACTAATAACAAAGTAGGTGTATAGAGAAAGAGTAGGAAAAAACGAGTCGTATTATGTAGAGTGTCTATGTGTGTGTGTGTTTGATAAAAAAGTTACAGGATATGGTATTTCAGTGACTAATTGGCTAGTAGTAGTTCTAGTAGTGATGGTAGTACATGTTACGTATTAGTACGTTTTTTAGTGTATATGCATGTATGTGTTTGTGTGAGTGTGAATGTGTGTAGGTGTATGTGATTTGAAGAGACACAGTAGAATAGTGGCTCACATAACATCTTATAACTTGGACTCACCGATGGCCGCAAGCGCACACAGTGCTTTCCGAAAGCTGAAAATGGTCCCCATTTGTCTACAGGTGAATTACTCACATGTGTTGCTTCCGTATTGGAAGTGTCCTGAGTACGATAGATGCCAATGGGAATTTCACATGTTGTCGAACAGAGTTTCTGATACAGACGGCCATAGGTGCGTATCCACATGTCCTCTTTGGTAATGCGCATCTGGAAAGAGTAAGAGAGAGAGAGAGAGAGAGAGAGAGAGAGAGAGTGAGACTCGCATATCATATTGCTCATTGTAAACATTTAAATTTGAGAAAAGCCGCGAACTTACCGATGTCAAAAACCCACTGCCCGGTGCCTGATCAATGCCGAGCAGCAAACGCACAAAGGTAATAACATAATCCTTGACAAAGGCCTGATAGAGCAGGGTATCCAACATGGAGGCACTGAAAACGGCACCAGCCGCAAATGGCAAACGAAACATGTACGATATGTGGGAGCCGCGTTCCTTTTCACGCTGCAGAGAATGGAGTGTGAGAATGGAGGGAGTGAATTGTAGAGGGAGTATGTAAGTCTTTGTGCTAAGAGAGAATTTATTCGCGTTTTTACCTTTTCCATTTTGCTCAAATGTAAAGCATATTTGTCGTGAGCCCGAAACTGCATGAAACGCATGTTGGAACTTTGCGACAGCTCTGTAATGCTTTTGATGCTGGGAAAGAATCTGTAAAGAAATATTTGAGGGAATATTAGAAAAGGTCATTTTTAGATTGAGTATGATAAAACAGGATAGATGTGAAGATTTTATAACAAAAGTTTGAAAAGACTTTTTTCAAAATTTTGCTCGATTTAAAGAATTCCCTATGGGGAGCTAGATAAATTTTGTCTTTAAATAACATAATTTTATTAGAATCCGTGTAAAAATTTAAAGAAGAGTGGACTGGAATATAGCGGTGAGCAATTTCAAAAACTTCCACATTAGGCGATTTCTAAATAGGTAAATCTTACGAAAGCCACGTTTAAGCCTGACAAATATCCTTAACAAATTTAAGGTGTGGAACCTGACAATACCCTTAAAAGCTGTACAATTGGAACATAACCAATGTCCATAAAAACTCCTGATTAATGGTCTAATAGTCTTTGAAAACTGTAATTTCTGGGGACCCGATAATCCTTGCAAAGTTGTCTGCGGAAAACGACATTTGAAGGTCCGGTCGTTCGGCTGGATATCCTTCACCATATGGAATGAATTTGGAAATTTTCAAAAAAATAAAATCCGTTAAAAATTCTGTTAAAATCTTAAAAATACCGAATATAGTCGTTATAATGGGGTCTATACTAAGACGTGGATCTGCATAGGCACCTTCGCCATAATACGAAACTTGAATAAAAATCCGGTGAATAATGTAGTTAAAATCATCAAAATTTCGAATATTTGGAGGTACCGTTATATGGGGCCAATACGAAGGCCTGGACCTGCATAGACAATTTTCTGGCATAGAATGTAGTTCCCATTACGAACTCTAAATATGAAATTTGAAACAACTACGGTGAATAATGTCCCTAAAATCGTCAAAATATCAAATATAGGAGGGTACGTTGTATGTGGGCTATACGATATCGTGGACCTATCTAGTTTTGACTCTAGCGTGATCACAACAGTCGGACGGATAGACAGGGCTAAATCGTCTTAAATATTACTCTGATTAAGAATATATGTTCTTTGTTATGTCTAACATTATTATTTCGATAAGATACAAACGGAATGGCGAACTTAATGTATGGAGGGTACTAGAGATAGTAGTAGATTGCCATTTTACGTAGTTCGCGTATTAAGTACAGAAATGTTCTTAAAACCTCCACATTACAAGGTCTCAAAATATCCTTTAAAATTTTACGTTTGAAACGAGAGAAATGTCCTCAACACCTTCTCGCTTGTAATCCTATACAGGGTTGCCCATATTCGACGGACCTTTGGGCCCTTTGGGCCCATTCTAATCGACGAGGCTTGTCCGCAGGCAACATTCTTTGCGTCAGTTGAATTTTGTACGGGAACAAATGCGAATCAATGCGAATAATCCATTGTAAAGTGGACGGAGCCATGCCCAACTGCTGAGAACGGCGTTTTTGGGATGTTCTTGGGGACCTCTCAACACGGGCTCGTACGGCAGCGATATTCTCGGCCGATCGCCTTGGTCGACTTTTATAAGGCCTCTTCGGATAAGAAAGAGCCTTACCAGTCGAAAAATTTTCGTATAAACGCTTAATGGTGTTCTTAGAAGGCACACTTCTCACATTTTTTAATGTTTTAAAAGCACGTTGAGTTTTCACAATTGACTTCTTCTGTTGAATGTAAATTTCAGAGCGCTTGCGTGGCGTGTATTGGTTCATGGTAAAAATCTGCTTGGACTGACGCTTCAAACGCGGTATGTCACTAAGCGATGTGACATCTCTGTCAAAAGTTATGGCGTTGCCAGATGGGTCCGTCGAATATGGACAACCCTGTACATGTCCTTACAAGCTCCATGTTTGTAAGCCTGAAACATTCCCTTAATAAGTCCACGTTTGAGGGTCGGAAACTAGTTTATTAAATCCGATTTTGAGGTTTTGGCAATGTCTTTTAAACTTTATGTGTTAAGGTCTAATTCATATTCCTAAAAGATCGGAAAATATACTTAAAATACGCTTTTAAATATCTGAAACGGTCCCCAAATAGCTCATGCTAAAAAATCTAAAAAATTTACTCAAAGTCAATCTTTGAGGGTCTAAATAATATTGTTTGAGGTTCTACAAAATGTCCTTAAAATCCCACTTCTGAAATTCTGAAAAGTGTTCTTAAAACTCCACCATTTTAAGTCAAAAAGTTTCCTTGGGAAATACACATTTTAAGGTCTGTGAAACATTTGAAGCTTAGAAATTATCCTTAAGTCCGATAATGAGATTTGAAAATGTCTTTAAACTACGTATGCGAAGGTATAAAAAATTATCCGGAAAGTCTCCGTAGAAGGTCTGAAAATATTGCTACAAATCCACGTTTGAAGATCTGAGAAGTTTAATCAAAAACTACACGTTTAAATATTTCCTTAAAAATTTCACTTTGAAGATACAAAAATAAGTCCTTAAATCACACGTTCTTAAAATTTTAACCCCAAAGTCCTTAAAACTTTAAAGGTCACAATCGGTTCTTGAGAAATCAAGAGTTTAAGGTATACAGTTCGAAGACCGGAATATGTCCTAAAAAACTCATGTTTAAAAACTTGTCAAAAAACTTACATTTCAATCTGGAAAAAAATACTTCTTTGGGGGTCTTAAAAGAGTACTAAAAATCTCTGATTAAAGGTCTGATTAAGGTTGTATAACATTATATAAGGAGGGCCAATAGTCCCTAAAAAATCATAGAAAAACCCCACATTGGGAGGGCTGATAATCCTTGAAAAATTGCTTTCACCAAAACTACGTTGAAAGGATTGAAAGTCCTTAAAATTTATTCCTAAGAAGCAGTGTTCGAAAGAAGAAGAAAATGCTTGAAAAACTCTCGACATTCTCAGATTGCCTTTAAAAGTTATTCTTAAAAATGTTGAAGATCTCTCCCTAAAACTGCAGCTTTGAATGTCTTAACGTTTTCATAAATAGTCAATGTTTGAGGTTCTAAAAATGAAACATTCACGATTGGAGCTAAAAAAAATCCTAAATGTCCACTTAGGAAGTCTTCTAAAAAAATACATGCTTAAAAGTCTCATAGTCCAAAAAAATTAAAAAAAAAACAGAAAATTCTAAAGCTCTGATTGTCCTAAAAAATCTTTAAGGAATTGTCATCTATAATTAAGTCACATGAACTGATCACGATACAGCCCACATTATTTGACGTAGAGCTTCAAAATTTCGGAGAATAAAATGTATTGTGTCTAGGATGGTTGGTATTGAAAATGAGATATATCGGTCCACGTTTTGGTAGAGTCGCCATATAAAGGTACTTCCCGATATTCGGTATTTTTATGATTTTCGCCGCATTTTTCTACGAATTTGTCTAAAAATTGGTATGAGTAGGTCATAATGGGTTCTAGTTCTGGTGGCGGAACATTGTATGTATAGGTCCATAATTTCGTATAGACCCCATATAAAGGTACCTCTCGATATTCGGTATTTTGATGATATTTTTCACATTATCCACAGATTCACCTAAAAATTGGTATTTGTGGTTCTTAATGGGGTTTCTTTCCAGTGGCAGAACTTTGAATATCTGAGTACATGTTTCCTATAGCGGCCATATAATGTTACCCACTGATCTTCGGTATTTTGATAATCCATATCACATTTACCCACGGAATTGTTTAAAATTTGGCATTTAAGACTTGCAATAGATAACAAGCATTGTAGTTTAAAGTGGAACACGGTTGAATTTTGATACTGCTATATAAAAATCTATTTTTTACCCAATGGTGGAGGGTATTACAAGTCAATGTTTTTCCTATTTTTTTGAGTTACCGACAAATATCGAAAAATTAAAAACACTGAATGAAAAAGTCTAAATTTAAGTTGGCATTACTGATGCTATCGGTAGGACTTGGCAACTACTTTATTTTGGTGGTCAACTCGCATTTTAATTTCAACGATTTTGGTCGACAACTCAAAAAATATGTTATTTTTTAATACAAAATAAATAAAATTTATAAAATTTGAAAAAGAGAATAAATAAAAAAAAAATATTTTTTTACGTATATTCCAAAATATTACTTGAACATAGTTTGAACGGCCACAATGGTATTACAATCCGACAGTGAGTCTTCTTCGGCTGAATTTGAGAGTTCCTTATTTACAACCACCACACTTTCGGCCAGTGTTATGCCAGCCCTCAGAAGGTCATCCAAGCAATCAATGGAGCCCAACATCCAATAGACCTTCAAAGAAAAGCAAATCCCCGCCGAAAAAAAGAAAACCATTAACAAAACAAACTGATTATGCTTTGACATTATCCCCATTTAAAAAGGATATAAAACAATTCGTGTTTGTTTTAAAAGCCATTACTTACCAAAGGAAAATATGATAAAGCATCCAAAAATGCCACATCCGGTCGTCGTTCCAACAACAAAATTATCGGATTCAGGGAGGTCTTTGAACGGAAGTGGGCTCGCAGTGGAATAATGAAATTGTAAATTCCATTTGAGGCATAATCGGCGGCCAAAATAATGGTCTTGTTTTGCCATTGATACTCCTTGGCATTGCGATAGCTACAATGTTCACAGACCTAAAGGGGGGAAGATGGTGGGGGGTAACAGGAAAATAACATGAAATCAATATTTTGCATAAATCAACGCATATTTATGACAAAAGATTCATCTTCTTCAGCTCTCTCCACAGTCTATTTTTATGCATAACTCTAAAAGGACCTTGAGCTGAAGGACACCACCACCATCAGCAGCCGTAAATCCAACTTACCTGCGCCAACTGCAAACAACACAACGGTTTCTTTTCCTTGAGCAAATAACAAAGCGTGGGACTCACACCAATAAACGGCGATACCGGCGGAAATCCTTTAACGATGCTATAAAAAGTAAACAGGAAATACACAAAAAAAGAGAGAGAGAGACGTACGTACGTATGTGTGTGAGTAAGTTTGATAGAGAAAATATACGTATGCATGATAAAACAAACAACAGAAGCTGTGTGTGTGTTTTCCATAATCATCAATGTCATAGAAGTATATTTTTTTGATTTGATTTTGCTTCTATTTTTTTCTGATAACAAAAACAGGAAACAGGAAAATATTTTAAAAAAATAAATAAATTGCAGAAAAACTTGGTAACATTTAAAAGGGCGGAAGTTCTAACAAAGGCCATTAATTTATTTTAAAATAACAATAACAATTTTATGAACAAACTACGAATTGCAAACAATAGTTTTAAATAACTTTCAATAAAATCTATATATATAAAAGGAAGTTGTGTTAGTTACTACGCTTATAACTTAAGAACCGCTGGACAGATTTTAACGATTCAAACAAATTCGGAATTGTCTCTTTTCCGAAAAGGATAATATCCAAAAAAATCGCGTAAAAATGTGATATATTAACATTTTCATTTTGACTTTTGAATTGTACAATAGTAATGTTTTATTTTGCATGATTTTTTTCCATTTTGACTTACTTTTTTCTAATGTACATTTGTAGTGTTTTTTATATTTTATTTTTGAATTCGAATATTAATACCAATTTATTTAATTGACTTGATTTCTTGAGAACTGTAATTGATGGCGGGTTACATGGAAGTGTAGTACCGAATTATGCGGTGGCGAAATGGAATAGAGGATATCGAAATAATTAAACGCGGTCACACCAAAGTTAAAAGATAATTACTTTTTCAAAATCGCCAAAAACTCACGAAAAAGAGATCTCATTGCACAAATTCTGAAATCGGGAAAAAAACGAAAAAAAATTTTTTTTTCAATGGAATCGATTTTTAAAATAATAGTACATTCTATTGACAAACTTTGTAAGGACCTTTAAACATTTGCTGTAAAAAATCGGCTAACAAGTTGAATATTTTAACAATTTGTTATTCTTTTTCTGTCAATTTGTTTTTCAATTTGCATTATCATATTGAATTCAATTGATTTTTTGTGAACAAAATGAAGAATAATTTTTCACTATACAATTTTTCACCAAAATAAGTGCGAAATAGAATGTAAACTGACATCTACCTTTCAACTCCAGGGCCTATATCGTGGTTCAGCTGGAAGATGCGAACACATTTAAATTATCAAAAATGACCGAAAAAGCCTAATGGGCCTCATCTCAAAGCGTGAACATGCCTTTTTTATGTGACAATAATCCGTCCAATGAGAGCTCAAAATGCAAAATTCTTTGGGAGTACAATCAGGAAAATACCAAATATAAAAGGTGCAAAATAGTAGAGCGAATGGGACTTTTATTAAGAAAAGGATTTCTATCCTCCCAGAAATTCTTCCCAAACATTCAAGATACCTTAAATCGCTTTTGCAGGTCATGATATAGATCATAACTCACGGATAAGGGTACAACCCGATTTTATATTTATATAACCATCGTATGATTCAAGCTATTTTTGGGGTCTTAGTCCCTTTTTATTTTTTGGCCCTTATTAGGCATCTTTGTGTCTAAGGGGGTACAGAACCTCTTCGCATAAAATTTGAAATTTTCAGAGTAGGGCCCATATTGGTCTTGAACACATTCATCAATTGATTTGGCTAAAAAATTTTGTTATGCTACCCTGGGGAAGGGAACCATCATACAGATAATTGCCACATAGGAATTATTTAAGTAAAGTCTCCACATTGGAGTATCCCCAAGTCCACTTTCACACCTAATGTGTGGTCAGAAAGGAAAATTTTGTATTCTATTGAATTTGTAACTCCCAAGAGAATATTGGTTGGGAACGTAGATTTGGAATGTACATCTATATGAAATAAATTGTGGGAACATGAACAAATTACAAATATAAGAAAGTAGTACGGGACCGAATATTTGTTGAATCGACATTGAATTATACTATGATGAAAAATATGGACTTTATGGGGTCTCCAATTTACAATTTAAATGGAAAATAAAAAAATTCCCATCTTACGGTAATGGGTGTGAAATACCTATAATTTTGAGTTGGCCTCTATTTGCCATATTGGATTATAAGGGGTAGAAGAAAGTTTTCAAAGTAGGTCGATGTTTCGGAGTAGTGCCCATATAAAGGTACCTCCTGATTTTACCATATTTCAAAGGATTTGGCTAAAAATGTGTATTCGGGGGGTGAAAATCTTACACAAAAATGTCAACATATTCACAAATTTTAGAATTTTCTCCATGCAATAGTATACCCTCAAGTCCACCTTTTGGCGGACAAACAGACCGACATGGTTAGGGGGACTTATGAGGACTCTAATGCACAATCTAAGGTGCTAATGGGTTTAAAAAAGTAATTAACTTTGCCTATTCTTAAATCATTCAGCCCTCAATTATGAGGTGTACAAAATACAGTAAATTCCAAATTGCTTCTCATTTGACTGTAAAATTTTGCTACGATTTTTACCATACTAAAAATTAATTTGATCCCTTACATGGGGATAAGATTCATATATACTTTTTAATAGATTTGTATAGCACATCCACACATTTGAAGCACACGGTTTAAATATTGAAGTCCACGGCTTATAAATGGGTACAGATATTTTAAAACACTTTTAATCGACCAGTACGCAAACACTTACATCAGTCATATCTGTGAATAATTATGCTTTTAAAAATATGCATAATAAACAAAAACTACGGGCCGGCAACGCGGACCGGGCCAGCTAGTTTACAATAAAATTGAACACTTTTAAGGATATTTAAAAAATTACAAAATTTTTAAAACTTAAGTTTAAAAGAATAAGGCAATTTTAAAAGCTTAATACTTTTTTAAAGATACAGTTGTGCGACTGACTGATTACAAACGCCAAGACTAAGCAGCTTAAGCTAGCATTTTGAAATTTTGCATTAAGCTTGGATTTTCGGGAATTTGTACTAAGAGGTAATATATAGCACACCAGGAGTACACTTTTTGAGCAAGAATTTTAGCAGAGTATTTTTGGAAAATGCGAACTAAACAGTAAGAAATGTACCTGGATATAATGATCATAATTTTAAATGTTTACTTAGAATACATTCAACAAAATTATGATTTTTTTACTTTCTTCATTTGTACTAAAACTATTGAAAATACTACATTTGGCACCATTTTTATGTAGGGTTTGGGGAAGAGCTCATAGTTTTTATGTGGAGATTTGTTTACAATAAACCAAAACTTTTATTAAAAAAAACTTTAGTAATTTATATTATACGATACGAAAAATCAAACAATTTAGTAAAAAATGGTAAACCTTTTTCTCTAAATTTCCACACAGGGTCTAGTATATGATGAGCAAAATGGTCCATAAACAAGTTAAAAAGTATCAGCCGGTTTTGCAGAGATGTATACCTCCAACCAGTGTTCGGTTTTTTTAAATATATTTTGACTTCTGTTATGATTATTCAAATTGCTGACCCTCTATGGAGTAGGTTCTGAAGGAATGGCCCAATATTGTCCATTTAGTATCGGATCTAAATTAATATGTAATAAATATTACGACGTGCCAGGATTGGACTATTTTGGGTACTTCCTACACTTTGTATGATATATGTGATAATTTTGAGATGATATTTAAAATGTGCCTGAGGTACCAGATATGGTCGACCGAAGTATTCTATGTTCATACTTCATCTAATACGGATAAAAATATTGGTATTGGCAAAATTAAAAGAAAATCGAACATTTATTTCCCATTTTATGCGAAATTATAAATTCCGATAATTTCCATATACATATCAGGTTTCTGGTTGAAAGAAATATTAAGTTGCAACGAAACGCTGATTTGTTTCACAAGTTATGTTAAGTATTGAAAATTGTGACCCTTTGTGGGTGAGGTACCAGAAGCGGTTTGCAGATATATATCATCTTCACAACATATCTTGTATTACCAAAAATGATTGTCTGTGTGAAATTTGAGGAGAGTTGGATGCTTATTTCGCTTTCTTTGAGCGTTTTGTTTTTCAATATCTTGAAGGCTATGTGGGGAAGGTACCAGAAGAAATGGTTCGATCTCTACCATCTTTATTACAGATCTTGTGTCGATGGAAATATTGAGATGTACCAAGTCTGAATGGAATCGGATTTTAATTTCGCGTTTTTCATGGATATTCAAAATTTTGAACCTCTGTGGGGGAGGTGCAAGAAGGAGTGTACCGATATATCCTATCTTCACAGCAGATCTTGTGTTAATAAAAATATTGTAATATGTGAAATATGAAGAGACCCAGATGCTTATTTCGGGTTTTATAATGGGTGTGGTTAGCCAAAACGTTTTGTGGACGAGGTACCAGAATGAATGGTCTGATCTCTACCGTCTTTATAACAGATCTTATGTTGAAGGAAATATTGAGATGTACAAAGACTGAATGGAATCGTATGTTATTTTGGGGTTTTATGAGCTTTATGGATATTCAAAATTTTTACCCTTTTGTGTGTTTGGGGGGGTCTACCAGAAGGAATAGACCGATCTCTACCATTTTTATAACAGAAGGAGTGGACCGATATATTCCATCTTCGTTTGGGTTAGTCAAAACTTTGACCGTTTGTGGGTGAGGTACCAGGAGGAATGGTCCGATCTCTACCATATTTATAACAGATCTTGAAATATTGTGTCGTTACAAGTCTGATTGGAATCGGACGTTAATTTCGCGTTTATGAACATCGTGCATATTCATAACATTTTTTGGAGAAGGTAGACCGATTTATTGAGTGGACCGATATTATCCATTTTTGCACCTGACCTAGGACTGACACAAATATTAAGATATGCAAAGTTGGAGCAAAATCGGATTATTGCTCCTCGTTCTGTGCAGAAATTTTTTTTTTGAAAACTTCGACCTTTTGTGGGGGGTGATACCACAAGGAGTGAACCGATATATTCCAATTTTTCCCACCAGACCATGGGTTAATA